TGGTGAAACCCGGTCTCTACTAAAAAACTACAAAAAAGGTGTGGTGGCGCGTGCCTGTAGTCCCAGCTACTCGGGAGGCTGAGGCAGGAGAATTGCTTGAACCCAGGAGGCAAAGGTTGCAGTGAGCCGAGATCACACCATTGTACTCCAGCCTGGGCAACAAGAGCAAAACTCCATCTCAAAAAAAAAAAAAGTTTTTCTTCAATAATAAATTAACCTTAGCTTACTGTAACTTTTTATTTTAAAACTTTTACATTTTTAAGTCTTTTGTAATAACACAGCTTAAACACAAACACATTGTACAGCTGTACAAAAATATTTTCTTCACATCTTTATAAGATTTTTTCTATTAAAATTTTTTATGTTTTACTTTGTTAACTTTTTGTTAAAAAGTGAGACACAAACACATATATTAGCCTAGGCCTACACAGGGTCAGGATCATCAATATCACTCTTTCCCACCTCCATATCTTGTCCCGTGGGAAGGTCACAATGCCTTCTTCTGGAATACCTCCTGAAGGACCTGCCTGAGGCTGTTTTCAGTTAACTTTTTTTTTTTTTGGAGGCAGAGTCTTGCTGTGTTGCCCAGGCTGGAGTCCAGTGGCACAATCTTGGCTCACTGCAACCTCCACCTGCCAGGTTCAAGGAATTCTCTGCCTCAGCCTCCTGAGTAGCTGGGATTATGGGTGCACACCACCACGCCCGGCTAATTTTTGTATTTTTAATAGAGACAGGGATTCACCATGTTGGTAAGGCTGGTCTCAAACTCTTGACCTCGTAATCCACCCACCTCGGCCTCCCAAAGTGCTGGGATTACAGGTGTGGGCCACTGCGCCCGGCCGTTTTTTTGTTTTGTTTTGTTTTGTTTTGTTTTTGTTTTTGTTTAGTAAGTAGAAGGAGTATACTCTAAAATAACAGGCTGAGCACGGTGGTGCACACCTGTAATCTTAGCACTTAGGAAGGCCAAGGCAGGTGGATTGTTTGAGCTCAGGAGTTTGAGACCAGTGTGGGCAACATGGCAAGACTCCATCTCTACAGAAAATACAAAATTTAGCTGGGCATGGTGGCTTGCACCGTCCCAGCTACTCAGGAGGCTAAGTTGGGAGGATTGCTTGAGTGACTGGCAGCACAGTAGATTTGTTTACATCAACATCACCAAACACATAAGTAATGTGTTGATGATGTCACTAGGTGATAGGAATTTTTCAACTTCATTGTAATCTTATGAGACCACCATTGTATACGTGATCTGTGGTTGACTGAAATATGGTTATACGACCCTTCTCTGTGTTCTTATACTGTAGTTAACCAAGTAACAGTGTCCATTAATATATTTTAAAAGGACATTTTCAACAAGACTTGAAAGATGCCTTTCCTGACATCATTTTCTTGGTTCCCTTTTTACCTCTTTGATTTCTTCTCAGTCATTTCTGTGGACTTTTGTTCCTTTGTCTATCTTGTTAACCATCTGGTTTATCCAGAGGTCCTGTCATCACCTATATAAACTCTCCCTCAATCACAACCACTCTCCTACATTGTTATTGAATAAATGAATGAATGACTCTTAAATCTTTATCTTAAGTTCTACATCCTCTGTGCTCCGAATGTTATCCAAATGCTTGCTAAAATGTCGTAAAGGTACCTACGATTTATTTAGTTATTTTGAGACAGGGTCTTTCTCTGTCACCCAGGCTGGAGTGCAGTGGCACAATCTCAGCTCACTGTAGCCTTGACCTCCTGGGCTCAGGCGATCCTTCCACCTCAGCCTCCCAAGTAGCTAGGACCACAGGCGTGTGCCACCATGCCCAGCTAATTTTTTATAGTTTTGGTAGAGATGGGGTTGAGCCATGTTGCCCAGAGTAGTCTCCTGAGCTCAGGCAATCTGCCTGCCTTGGCCTCCCAAAATGCTGGGATTACAGGTATGAGCCACCATGCCTAGTCGGTACCTAAAATTTATAAATGAACTCAAATTTTCTTCTTTCTCTTTCTGCTGGCCTCCTCTGCCTTCCACACCTGCCCTCTCTCCATCCCATTCTCTGTACAGGCTGATGCTGCCTTTGCCATTTCAATACCTCGAGCCTAAAAAGTGGGAGTTTCCCTTTTCCTCCCTTTCCCTAGCTAATACTAAATCCCAGCCTATTCTGTTTCCTAAATATATAATCTGTTTCCACTATTACATCCCTATTAGTACTGCTTTAGTTCAGGCTCCATGCTAAGGTTAAGTGCATGAGTTTTGCAGCCAGACATACTTGAGTTTAAATCCTGGCTCACATTCACTGGCTTTCAAACCCTAGGCAAGTTACTCAACCTCTCTAAACCATCAATCCTCAAACTTGGCTACACATGGGAACCACCTGTGGAGCTTAAATAAAGTACTGGCCAGGTGCAGTGGCTCATGCCTGTAATCCCAGCAGTTTGGGAAGCTGAAGTGGGCAGATCACTTGAGGTCAGGAGTTTGAGACCACCCTGGCCAACATGGTGAAAACCCATCTCTACTAAT